CTGAGCCATCTCCCCGGCCCCTGATTCCTGCTTTTGAGGGCTTCCAAGTGCTCAGGATTTGACACCTACCCTTCCCCCACTTTTGCGTCTGACCAGATCTGTCTCTGGCTCCATAAGTTCCTGTGCTCTGCCTTCCTGGCTTCTCTCAGCACTCCAGTCCTTTAGCTCTTTCCTGCTGTTCTCTCTGCTAGAATGCCCTCCACACAGCCATTTCCACAGCTGGCTCGGTTCAGAGGTCCTCCTCACAGGCCTGCCCAAGTCTCTCCTCTTACTCTGTGTTTCTCAGTTTCCAGTGGCCACACAGGGCAGTGCCAGTTTCTTCCTGAACTAGACAGCAGCTGGGGACTAATATCTTGGGCAGTGGTCATGCTGTAAAGAATAGGATGGTCCTCTGCTTAGTGCAGTGGCTGTGGGAAGGATTGGTGAGCAGTTCACTGAGGAAGCTAGGGATGGTTAGGTGATGCTGCGTGGGGCACAACAAAACTTCCTTTCTCCTCCCAGCTAATGTGCTGTATGGGCCGCTGCACACCAAAGAGTCAGTGAGCAAGTTTCTTGGAGCAGTGGAAGAAGCAAAGAAAGGAGGCGGCACTGTGGTCTATGGGGGCAAGGTAAGGGTCACTCAGTGCCTTCCTTTCTTTCCCTCAGGCCCTCCTCACAGGACTCTGGGCCAGTTGGTGAAGGGTCCTGGTTCCTCCTCCTCCTCGTTGTCATTGTTGTTGTCGTCATTCTCCTCCTCCTCCTCCTCCTCCTGCTCTTCCTCCTCCCCCCCCCGTTTCTTTTACAAGGGTTTTCCCTGGAATATTTCTGGGAGGGACATACAAGAATCTCAGAGGCATATTACCTTTTGACTTGGGTCCCTAAAGCCTTGTAATAGAAGAGAGACCTGTCATAGCATAGTAAGTCACCTGTGTTCAGAGATCTTGGTTCCATATTTATTGGTTACTTGAGACAGTTAAGATAGGAAATCACAAATATATTTACAATAAACATTTTAATTTAATACATAAAACTACTTTTGGGATTCCACTCCAGTGTACTGAGGGCTGAACTTGGGAAGGCTGAATCACTCACACACACACACACACCCCTACCCCTACACATCTGCTTTTATGTTCTAAATTTTGAAGCAGGCTTTTGCTAAGTTACTCAGAATGGCCTCAAACTTGGTGTCATTTTGTCTCAGCCTCCCAAGTACCTGAGGTTGTCTGAGTGCGCCACTGTGCCCAGCTAGGGATTTGTTTGACACATAGTGAAGGTGTTTTCTTCATGTGTTTAGGAATTTTTCGCCTATGAAAACTGTACATATAATAAGAATACATGTATTTTTTTCATTTAATTTGAAATTTGTGGAGACTTGAGTCTTGCAAAACAGCAAGTTTTCTCTCTAAACTATTGACACATCCACTTCTAGTTGTCAAGTTTGTTTATTTATTTTGGTGGTAGTACTAGAGATTAAATCCAGGGTCTTTGACCTGAACTACATCCCTATCCCTTTATTAATTTTTTATTTTGAGACAGAATCTTGCTAAATAAGACTAGAACATGTGATTTTTCTCCCTTAGTCTCGCAGAGTGCTGGGACTATGGAAGTGTACCCCCATGCCTGGATTTTTTTCCCCTTTCTTATGTTGTGGTTTCTCTGATGCATTTGACTTGTTTTTATAGAAATAGCTTTATTGTCTGTGTAATGCTTATGTTCTATAATGCAGTGTGGCATTAGAGTAACAAACACATCGCCATCTGCACAATGGATGGTAAATAAGGTTGACTTGATAAATATACACAGCCCAGAGGGAGAGAGCAGAATTTCAGAGACTGGTTGGAGAGTGGATGGACGGATCCCAGCTGCTGGCTCTGGGTATCGGTGTGTTATACAGAAGGAAAAGGAGAGAAGATGTTAAGAGGAGCTGAGCTAGGACCTTGGCCACGTGGTGCTTGGCTATGGGAGTGTAGTGCATCATCTTAGAGTTTGGGTTTCATGCAGTGTGCATTCCTCTGCTGTGGTTGCCCTAACAAAATGTCCCAGTGCAGGCAGCGTAAACGATAACAATGTATTTTCTCCCAATTCTGGAGGCAGGACCGATTTCTGGTCCCTGTTTGGCCAAATCCTTTCTTGTAACCTTGTGTGACCTTTCTGAGATGGGAACAATACCACTAGTGTCTTTCTTTTATAAGGATCCAGTCCTATTGGGTTAGAGCTCTACCAGTGACTTTTTTTTTTTTTTTTTTTGGTGGTAGTACCAGGGATCAAACTCAGGACCTTGTATTCCATTGAGCTATCTCCCTGGCCCCTCAACCAGTGACTTTAATTGCCTCCTTAAAGGTCCTGTTCCAAATGTGCTCGCATTGAGTACCAATGCTTCAACATAGGAATTTGGGGTGGAGCATAATTCAGTGTACAACACAGTGAGTAGAGATTACTTATTTCAGAATTAATTTTAAAATAACCACTTTTGGCCATGCTTTATCTTTTTTTTTGAGGTTATGAGCAGAATATATTTATTGAGAGAAAGAAAGCTCCTGTCCAAGAGAGGGACAGGAGGGGGGCCCGAGCGGGTAGTTCCCCGGGAAGCTGTCTCTTCCAGGGACTTTTATAGTGTAAAACCATGTGGGGCAAAGGTGGAGAGAATGGGAACTCGCTT